CTTGCCAGGTAGAGTGGGGGGCTCTGGAGCGCTGTGGCCGGGGCGGCGGGCCGGAGCAGGTCCGGAGGGCGCGGGTGGCGGGCGCATGGCCACCTTCCGCGGCCCTGCTGGTGGGGCGTGGAGAGGACGGCTCGGCCTGGGCGACCTTGGGCACGGGTACCTAATGTCTCAAGCTTCCCGCCCCTGCGACCCCCGCCGTGGACGGCAGCGTAGCCCGAGCCCGGAGCCTTGGAATGCTTGGTGCAGCAGAATGCTCCCGCTAGGCTGATGTATTTCATTCAAGCAGAAGCTTGCAGTTTCCGGCAGGATTGCCGGCATAATCTTGTGGGGTTCCGAGACTCTTTGGGAAATGTTGAGGAGCTTGGAAGGTCCCTTTTAGCCTCGGCTGGTGAATTCTGGCCCCAGTGGTGGAGGACTGAGCACATGGACCATTTGCGCCCTCCGGTCTCTGCGTCTCTCCTTTTTGCGGGTCTGCATGACTGATGTCTGTCTGCATGGGGGGCTAGGCAACAGGTCCCCGGCGTCTGTGCAGCGCGACAGTTGAGGAGCAGCAGCCACCGAAGGAGTGAAGCCCTCGCGGGTGCCCCTCTGGATAATGCTCCCAAGGAATACCCTCCCAAGATCCAGCAACTGGTCCAAGATATCGCCAGCCTCACGCTCCTGGAGATCTCAGACCTCAATGAGCTCCTAAAGGTATTGGGAGAGCTCTCCACAGACTGGGACTAAGGTCCCTGTCTTCTATTTGTATTTTGGGAGTTTGGTATTTTGCCAAACCAGGGTCAGAGGTCCCTGTCTCTTCTAGATGCGTTCTGGGAGTTTGGCAAATTGTCAGATGTGCTTTTTCTAGATGTCAGAGCCAAGTAGGCTTGTGCCTTCTTTATGAAGAACAACCAGCCACTGAAACTTCTCTTGTGTCCCACAGAAAACATTGAAGATCCAGGATGTTGGCCTTATGCCAATGGGTGGCATGATGCCTGGTGCCGTCCCTGCCGCAGCAGCAGCCCCTGAGGTGAGCCTAGGCAACAGAAGGAGCCATTTCCGTGTGCCTAGTTACTGTTGACCTCAGCATGTGACATATTTCTGTAGCTTCTGCTTGGGTCTGTAGCTGTCATTAGTGTGTCCCCTTGTGGGCTCCCCCGCAACACCTCTGGGAACACCGCTCACTGCCAGAGGCTGTATGTATGTGTATGGGTGTGTACACGTTACAGCTCATGAGGAGGGGTAAAAGAGGACTCCTTTCAGGAATTCTCTCCTTCCATGGTGGGTCCTAAGAACACTCATGTCCCAAAGCTTCTACACTCTGCCCTAGGCTGGTGTGTAGACCTTACCTCATAAAGAAGACATGTCATATGACGAGTTCGTCAGACAGCAGTGCCATGAGTGCTGCTGAGGGAAGTAGGCAAGGCGCAGGGATGTGGTCCTAGCGTGCCTGCTTCCCGTGTGAGGTGCGCTTTGGCTTGGAGACCAACAGGCAGGCAGCTGAAGTTGGGTAGAGGGCTGGAATTTCAAGGAAGGCCTCCACAGGCTGACATTGAATGAAACCTGACAAGAAAGAGGGGCATTCCTCACAGATCTAGCTGACAAGGGTCTCCAAGCAATCTGTAAAATCTGAGTAGGGTCCAGGTGTGGTGGCCTACACCCCTAATGCCAGCACTTGGAGGTAGAGGTGGGCGCATCTCTGTGAATTCTAAACCATCCAGGACTAGATTCAAGCCTAATGTTTTGTTTTGTTATAGGATTTATTTTTATTCGTGTGTGTATGTATATGTCTGTCCGTGTGCCCACATGTATGTGGGCACCTGAGGAAGCTAGAAGAGGATGTTGGATCCCTTCAAAGTGGAGTTAAAGGCCCTGTGACCAGCCTCATGTGACATGGGTGCTGGGAACTAAACCCCTGTTCGTTTGAAAGAACAACATACACTCCTAACCCCTGAACTGTTTCACTTCTGAAGCGAGGGTTGGATTCGTTGTCTAAGCTGGAGTGCTGTTGCTGTTGTGTCCTCTATCAGGAAGCAGATACAATCCAGGCATGCCCTGGACGGTAGGACTGACCGTGGGCTCACCTGCCCCACTGTGAGCCAGCTTGGAAGGATGGGGTTTAAAATGGTTGTCATTTAGCCAGGCGGTGGTGGCGCACACCTTTAATCCCAGCACTCAGGAGGCAGAGGCAGGCGGATCTCTATGAGTTCGAGGCCAGCCTGGTCTACAAGAGCTAGTTCAAGGACTGCCGTGAAACTCCAAAAAGAAAGGGAAAAAGTTGTCATTATTGACACATAGGTTTTGTTCACTGAGGACTGAGAGTCCTGTTTTTTTCCATAACTTTTTTTATCTCCAAAGTGTTTATTCTCCCTGCCTCATAAGTACAATTGCTTGTTACCTGTGCGTGTTTGCGTGTGCCCGTGGGAGCCTCACCTGTGCGTGCTTGCGTGTGTTCCCGTGGGAGCCTCACCTGTGCGTGCTTGCGTGTGTTCCCGTGGGAGCCTCACCTGTGCGTGCTTGCGTGTGTTCCCGTGGGAGCCTCACCTGTGTGTGCTTGTGTGTGTTCCCGTGGGAGCCTTACCTGTGCGTGCTTGCGTGTGTTCCCGTGGGAGCCTCACCTGTGCGTGCTTACGTGTGTTCCCGTGGGAGCCTCACCTGTGTGTGCTTGCGTGTGTTCCTGTAGGAGCCTCAGGAGCCACTCACCTTATTTTGAAACATGGTCTCAGTTGGCCTGGAGTAACGAGACTTTTTCTGTTCTGCCAGTCAGCTCCCAAACAATGACACGGCTTATTATGAAAATTCAGCCTTAGCTTAGGCTTGTCACCCTAGATCTTTTAACTAAATTAACTCATTTATATTAATCTGCATTTTGTCACATGACGTTACTTCTCTTTCATCTTGCACTTCCTGTTTCCTCTTCGCATTTCCTGCGTGCCTATATTTCTCCTCTTTGTTTCTCTCCCCAGAAATCTCGCTTATACCTCCTGCCTAGCTGTTGGCCCCGCTTATACCTCCTGCCTAGCTGTTGGCCAATCAGCATTTTATTGCACCAATCAGCAATATATCTTCACACACTATTCTATATCCTACAACAGCCTGGAACTTGCTTAGGGCCATTAACACCCTCCTGTCTACCTCGTCAGTGCTGGGGTTACAGGCACAAGCCGCCATGCAGGGGCCTCAGGGATCGGGCTCAGGTCCTCACAGTTGCAAGGCAAACCCTTCACCAGCTGAGCCATCTATTCAACCCCACAAATTACAGTTTAATGAGAAGTAAAGTGAACTGGGCGGTGTAGCACACCTTTAATCCCAGCACTCGGGAGGCTGAGGCAGGTGACCTCTGAGTTCTAGAGAGGGCTGGGGTAAAATGTCAGGAGATAGAAGGAGTGTGCAGCTTGTTTCAGGGCCTTGCCCTGTGGGGAGGTAGAAGCAGAGCTGACTGAAAGATAGGGGTCTGGTACAGCTTTGTAGAGGGCAGATCTCAGAAGCTGTTGACTTGCTCCAGGTCTTGGTGGGACAGCCTTTCCTCATCCTTCCTCTCCCTACCTCTTTCCACACCCTAAGGTGGCTGAGGCAGAAGACATCCCCAAACAGAAAGAGCGGACACACTTCACCGTCCGCCTGACAGAAGCAAAGCCCGTGGACAAAGTGAAACTCATCAAGGAGATCAAGAACTACGTCCAGGGCATAAACCTTGTGCAGGTGGGGCCCGTTCTGAGCCTTCGCCTATGCTGGGTGAAAGTTCCCGGGCACTGACCTTTTTAGGATGGGCTTCGCTATGGCAATAAGTGCTGCAAGCTTCTTACTGCTGTCTCTTTTTAGGCCAAGAAGCTAGTGGAGTCCCTGCCCCAGGAAATCAAAGCAAACGTGGCCAAAGCCGAGGCCGAAAAGATCAAAGCAGCCTTGGAAGCAGTGGGTGGCACTGTGGTTCTGGAGTGACACCCCCGTTCCGAGGACTTTTGGACTGTGTCCCTGGGACCTGGGCAAGGCCCGCTCACCCCTGCTTCACTCCCAGGTGGGGTGTTGGGAGCAATAGCTGCTAACACTGGAGACCGAGTTCTGGGAGAGAGACAGGACGGACCTACTGTGATGGGGAGGCCCGCCACAGCTGTGCAGAGCTCTCCTGATTGCCTGGAGAGCTTACAGAGTGAACACGCCCCTGTGGCTACTGAGAAAATACACTGTTGAGGCTGGGTGTGTGTGGTGAGTGGTGTGTGTGCCCGGGGTTAGTGGCACAAAGGGTCATCTAGAGGCGTGTGTGTGTCCTGGACCTTCCTCAGGCTGTCTGCCCCTGCCTGTCCTCCTTGTTGGTGATGTTTGAGGCTCTACAGCCATCCATCACTTATATTGTGCAGAGACCTGCCCGCTGATCCCCACGGCAGGTTTGTGTCCACACAGGCGTAGCAAGGGCTGGTATGCAGCTCGAGTTGGGGATGGGTGTGATCTGAGATTTGAATGTGGAATTTTTGTTTAGATGCTTGGAGTTTGAAAAGTAACAAAGTGTAATAGTGACCCAACCTACCAACACAGTCCGAGTCCAACATTGCCCCAGTTAGGGTGGGTGGAGGCTGAGCTATTAACCCTAATGCCCAAGGGGGTTTGTGCATGCTGGGATAACCACCCTTAACTTGCGGGACAGGAGTTCTGGCTAATGCACCAGACCAGGGCAAGGTGGCAGAAGGGTCTTATATTTGCAGGTCTTGGAAGACCTGACTAAGCCTGAGGTGGATCACCCCACGTGTGGGGTGTGGAGTGGCTATTTTTGTTCCTAGACCTCAGCAGAGCCTGGGAGAGGAACAGAAGTTTCTTTAGCTGGTCTTACACCTGAGCCCAAATCCTCAGTAGTGTTTGAGAAGGTGCACCCTGGCCTTGGTCCTCCTGTTGGAAGAACTTTTGCAGTTTCTTAGAGAGACCAGGAGAGGGCGATGTGCTCCGCAGTGTTGCTCTGTGGAGCCTCCAGAAACCCGGCAGCCCCACCCAGCTGTGGGCCGGTCCACTTCTCATAACAAGGAAACTGATTTCCCAGGGGACTCCTGGCCTCCGCTACTAGCATTGCCACACTGCTCGGGTTAATGATTCCCCAGCAGCACTTCGGGGTTATCTCCACAAAGGTGGCTACCAGGAGACCTAGGCATGACCTGCCCGGCCCTGCTAATGCCCGGTACTACCTGGGGCAGGTAGTACCCCAGGTTGGGCCTGTCCTGGGGCCTGGAAAGTTCACCTCTGCTCTGAGTCTCCTCTCAGCCGGGACCAGAGTGTATGTGGGCCCTAAATCACTGCGTGTATGTGTTGAGGCCAACCTTAGCTACCCAGTAAGAACCTGTCTCAGATAAAACTGTAGTCCTTAGCTCCTGGCCTTCATCTCCCATGGATTGGGGTCCTCTGGTCAGGAATAGATTCCAGCTCTCTCGGAGAAGGGCAGATGCATACATGCGTATCTGTAGTCATCTCCATTCTGATAATCAGATGAGACTAGACAGCTGTGGGCATAGCTTTGTTCCTGTGCCGAGTTGCCTTTGTGGCCTTGAAGGCCATTCCACTGCTTTTTAAGTTTCTGGGAAGATCAGTCAAGCCCGAGCCTACCCTGACCCTCAGTCCTGTGGCTCAAGGTGTTTCACCCAGTACCTCTCAGTTCCTGGGCAGGGCTGGTCTGTATCAAGACCAGTTGCTGTTTCTGGTCTCTCAGCAACCTATAGAGCTGACCTGGGATGAGACCTGCCTATCCCCAAGGTGTACACGGTCCCCTACCAGCTGCAGGAGAGGAATGGATCCAGTGCAAAGTGACCCTAACCACCTTGCTATAGACTGCATCCCCAAGTGTGGTGTGCCCTGGGCATGGGAAGGAAGGCCAGGACAGCACCACCCCAAGTGAGATGCCAGGAGATCCCCCATCATGTTACCCTGGTGCCCTGACAATGAGCATCTCAGCATGGGAGGCCACCTGGGGTTCTGAAAGACACAATTTGCTCAGTTCTGCGTCCCTGCTGTGAAGCTGGGCACTGGTTGGCAGGACTGGATAAAGCAGGGCAGGAGCTGTTTGCTGGGTGTTTCTCTGCATCGGGTAGAGACCAAGTCAGAACTGCAGGCGAGGTCTTACTCATATAGCCAGACTTAAAGCAGCTTTGGGACTTGGAATTCACCTTGCCCAGCAGGTGCACCCTTGGGCTAGGAGCATACACGGGTTTCTTTGCCAGTTGTTGGGAGGTGGATATGGACTTCTGGTCTGGCAGATTGGAGCTGCCTCCTAGGAGTCTGAGCCAGTAACCAACCGTGAAGACTTCACAGCTCAGAACCTTCTCCATGGCGGCCGCCTAGGGCTGTGTCCACAGCAAGGCTTGAGCCGAGTTGCACTTGGCAGGGACTCACTGGGTGTGTGGCATGGGGGAGGAGCACCGCTATCCTTCACTAAGAGTCTTTTGTCCGTGGTTTCTATTTAATTTGCAACCCGGCCCCAAGAAGGTTTCCATCCCCCTACATCTGGGCGGGGGCTGGACTCTGGTCGGGGGGACGGGGGACAGAGGTCCATTGCTGCAGCACGTGTCCTTTGCCTGGGTAGCACACGAGTCAGCGCCAAGGTGCAAGTTCAGACTAGGGCTAGGGGGGCTGGTAAGAAACCAGCCTCCCGATGGGTGGAGGATGGCAGACCACCTTCGGATCTGCGACCCAAGCCATAATCTAGAGAGCGGAGGTGACTATGGACTAGCTCCAGGGGTTTCACGGTCGTCTGCGGCGGACCCCCTACCTCTGCCCCTTGCAGCCACCGCTTTAAGAGGGCGGGCGGAGCTTCCCAAGGCCGGAGTTCTGTCGCGGGTGGAGTCCACCAGGCCCCGCCCATGGGGCCGCGCGGGCGCATTGGCTGCACCAGGCGCGGGCGCTCGGTGGCACTTTGAACCGGGTGTCAGGAGGCTGGAACCGGAGTTGTGGTGCTGACCCAGGTCGGGCCAGGTCGCTGCTGCTCTGGCCATGGCCGAAGCACGGGCATCTCGCTGGTACTTTGGGGGACTGGCCTCCTGCGGGGCCGCCTGCTGCACGCACCCGCTGGACCTCCTCAAGGTGAGCCTGAGTTTCAAGGCCGAGCGTGCGCGTAAGCCCAAGGCGCCGGGGACCGTCCCCGGCCTGGCGCCCACAGGATGCCTACTGCGGCCGCCTACTGCGCACCCGGTAATTACCGCCACGCTGGCCTGAGCCCCGGCCGCCCTGCTCTGCGCCGTCGGGCTTGGGCCTGCAGGCGCCACTACGCTCGTCTCCCAGTAGGCAGCGGTGGAAAATCCCCGGGGACCCTCTGCAGATGGCTCTCTCGGGGGACAGGCGACGGGGACATCCCCGCTCCTCAGCTTACCAGCTGGTTCTCCCCCATCTTTAACAGATGGCTGTCTGTCCCGCCTCTACGCTGCGCTTTAATACCCGGGTGAACTCGGCCGTTCCGAGCCATTTCTCGGCGGCAAACATTCTACAACTCTGGTTAGAAGTTGAGGGTAGAGTTGCAGGGGACAGAGGTGTTGAAACTTAAAGACCAGCCTGGTCCCAGCAGCAGAGCTCCCCGGCCTGCTTAGCACCACCTACGGTGCGGGGTGAAAGTGAGGGCGATGGGCTAGGTGGTGCTGTGACCTCGGTCATCCGGTTCCGCCTGAACTGGTGCTACGTTAGGAGCAGCACGCCCCAGGTGAGCGAGGAGACCCTGCGTTCACCGGGCTCTGCCCAAAGAGACTAACCGGCTCAGCACGAGAAACAACCCAGCACTCGAGAGGCAGAGTTCCAGGCTAGCCTGGTCTACAGAGCGACTTCCAGGATGGGCCAGGGCTACACAGAGAGATCTTGTCTCTAACCATAGCTCCTCAAAGGAAAAAAAAACAAATGAGACACGTGGGTTTGTGGGGTTTTTGTCTTTTCTTTCTGCTTAAAAATAAACGCTTATAGAGCAAACTAAGACAGCACTCTTCCTGTTCCCCAGGGCCAGGGAAGTCCCAGGGGATTTTTTCCCCCTGATTCTTTGTTTATTCAGAGAGCAAAGATTTGGATCCCTCTACCCAGGGGGCTCTGACTGCCATTTCCCCCAAGCCCCACGTTGGACTGGCCTCTGAGGTCTGAGCTGGTGATCCAACCACTTGAGACTTCCAGGCTCGTTTCTGTCTCTGCCTGGGACCCTGCTTCCTAAGAAAGGCTGTCGCTTTTCTTTCTTTCTTGTTTGTTGCCCAGCCACTGCAGGTGGTGTAATAGCAGGAGAACTGATTACTGTTAGAGCGACTTCTTTTTTTTTTATTTTTTATTTTATTTTTTTTAAATATTTATTTATTATGCATACAATAGACTGTCTGTGTGTATACCTGCAGGCCAGAAGAGGGCACCAGACCCCATTATGAGATGGTTGTGAGCCACCATGTGGTTGCTGGGAATTGAACTCAGGACCTTTGGAAGAACAGGCAATGCTCTTAACCTCTGAGCCATCTCTCCAGCCCCCTATTAGAGCGACTTCTTGAGGATATTTTCCTTTCCTGGCTGTGCCTGTACCTGCAGCCTTCTCCATCATGGGGGTCAGGCTCGATGGCTACACTAGGCCTGGGCCCTGAGGGCCTCTCAAACACCCCACTCCTAGCCTGTCCTCTTGAGTGTTGACCGACTGTGACATAAAAGTCTCAGGTGGTTGTTTATTGTCCGAGCTCCTCTGCTTCTCAGCCCTGCCCCCACTCAGGTGTTCCCTTGGAGGAATGGTGCCTGGAGGACCAAGAAAAGCTGCCATGGAAGCCGGGACACCCCTGCTGGACCCGTGCCAGTAGACAGGCGGTGCCCAGCCACAGAGGAGGCAGTGGTCAGGGTGTTCCAACAAGCATTGCTCACAGAGACATTGGAAAACTTGTGTGCAAAAACAGGATCTTACTGTACTTGAGACTGTCCTCAAACTCAGCATCCTCCTGCCTCAGTCACCTGAATAGTTAGAGTCACGTGCCTGAGTTACTTTGCCAACTTTAAAACTTGTTTTGGAGTTCCTCCGTGTGTGCCCTTTGCCCTGACTTGGTCCCCTCATATACAGGGGCAATTGCCCTCAGAGCCACCACCCCCTGGATAGGCGGCTTAAACCCTCTGTCCCTCTTGACCCACATACTGCAAGGTGACACTCCTGTTGCTGAGAATCAAGCCTCCTCCACGATCTTAGCTGTTTTCCTTTCTGCATGAGTGTGACCAGGCCTGAGCCGCACTTGGCTGTGGGCAGGCTTCTTTGGGAACTGATACAAAAATGCTCAGAACCGGGTCTCCTGAGCCTGAACGTAGGCCACCGATAAGGGGGTGGGAGTGAGAAAAGGCCCTGAGAACAGTAACTGTCCTTACCACACAATGAAAGGGAACCATTGCAGGCCTAGGACCAGCCTTAGATCCTCTGGGGTCTCTCTACTGCCCCTGTCTCATTTTCCTCACCTCAGCTGGGAGGTGGTGGCGCACGCCTTTAATCCCAGCACTCAGGAAGCAGAGCCAGGCAGATCTCTGTGAGTTCGAGATCAGCCTGGTCTACAAGAGCTAGTTCTAGGACAGGCTCCAAAGCTACAGAGAAACCCTGTCTCAAAAAACAAAAACAAACAAAAAGCTTTCTCCCCTCTAGGTCCATAGCGGGTGGACCTGGAAAAGACTGATCCTTGAAATGGCCTCAGCAGAGCTCTTAGGCCCAGGCAGCCATCTCATTGCTCTGCTCTGTGAGAACCTGACCCTACCCTTCCTGCCTGTGCACAGGTGCACCTACAGACGCAGCAGGAGGTGAAGCTACGCATGACGGGAATGGCGCTGCAGGTGATCCGAACCGACGGCATCCTGGCGCTCTACAACGGCCTGAGCGCCTCACTGTGTAGGCAGGTGTGTGCACAGGTCTTGGCTCGCTGTCAGGGCTCATGACCCACAACGTTCTTCCTTTCTCTCTTGTTGACCTCAGCTTCCTAGGTCTTGGCACCAGCCTCTCAGGTCCTGCTTCTGGGACTCAGTCCTGTGAAGGAGCCTTAGGGAGCTCCAGCTGCTTTTTCTTCCCCTTTCAGAGTTATTACAGAAAAGACTCAGGCTGGGTATGGGGCAGGGCCATCCACTTTCAGATGGGAAAACTGAGGCTAAGGACAGCTGGGGACAGCACCTCTGGCTTGTGAATTGGCTTGGCTGCTTGTAAGCCGAGTGACCTTAGAACAGCCACTCGAAGTCCCACGGCCCATGGGACAATGGCTGGACTGGGTGGAGTGCCCAGTCCTCTGAGCCAGGCCCCCTCCCCAGATGACCTACTCCCTGACTCGGTTCGCCATCTACGAGACCATGCGGGACTACATGACCAAGGACAGCCAGGGGCCTCTCCCCTTCTACAGCAAGGTGTTGCTGGGCGGCATCAGTGGTGAGCACTGGGTAGTCAGGGCAAGGGCCGGGCAGAGGCCCAGGACGCAGGGAACCATCACATATTGGCCTTGGCGTTTGTGTCACCACAGGTTTAACCGGAGGCTTCGTGGGGACCCCAGCAGATTTGGTCAACGTCAGGTTTGTATGAGCCTCTCGTCCCTCAGGGTCACGGGCTCCCTTGTCCCGAGCAGGCAAGCCCTGCTCAGGTTCCTCCTGAACTCTGCGGTACACTCAGCTTGGGGCAAGCCGCGCAGACTCTAAGCCTGGGTTTGTGGAGGAGCCAAGTCCTGTGCTCCTACCCCGAACTCACGTAGGCGGCCCTGCGCTGTTGACCCTGGTCAGTGAGCTGACCTGGGGCCTAGGGGCTCACCCGTCCCTGCCTGTTCTTCTGTTGTTTCAGGATGCAGAATGACATGAAGCTGCCCCTGAACCAGCGGCGCAAGTGAGTAGGAGACGGGCTTTGTCCCAGTGCGGGAGGGTAGGACCGGGAGGCCCCTCCAGGGAGGACCCCTGAGTAGCTCTGCTCTGACTTAACCAGGACTCCCATACTGCACGGGGGTTTTGTGGAAGAGGGAGCTGGTGACTTAGATAACACGCTACCCTGGGGTCACTAAGGGGTGTCCCTTGGTCCCTCTAAGACCTTTAGGTTCTTATGGGAAGATTCTCACTAGGATGAGGGCCAGTCCCCATATCTACCTTCTGGAATTTGCTGACACAAGGACTGTTGTCTAGGGCTGGGCCTCTTTGTAGCTGAGGATAGCCCAAATCAGTGCAGGGCCACCCAAGCCTCAAAGCCCATGGAGGAAGGTACATGAAAGAACGGCTTACAGCCAGGAGGCCAGGGTAAAAGCGGCCCTCTTCTTCCACCCCAGGCCAGCCACAGGCACAGGGAGCTTTGGGGTCGGGGGTCTTCTGCGGCCTTTGTCCTTCCATGGAGTACCCTTCCATTCTCATTATTATCCCTCTTTCCTTCACCCTTGAGGAGCCAGGCTGTTTCTTGTCCCGCCTCCCCCACTTTTGCTCGGACTCTCCTTGAGCCCCAGGTCTTCCTAGCGTGGCCTCCACAAAGCTAGGCTGGTCCAGTTTCTTATTTTCATTTTGGGATAGGGTCTCGCTCTGTACGTGTGCTACCGGGCCTGGCTAGTTTCTGGCTTCTTGTTGGTTCCCGCTTGGGTTCTCCAGCCCAGAGGGCGGGTGATAATCTATGCTGGAAGCCACAGCAAGCCTGGGATCCTGTGGGGAAGTGGAACCTCCATCCAAGGAGCAGCAGGGCAGACCACCAAAGCTTTGCCCACAGGAGTCACTTCCTGAGCTTTCCCTGGGAGAGGCTTACAGGCCTGTGAAATACCCCCATTGGGTATGACGCCACGCCAGAGTCCTGTGGCCCACAGTGGGGACGTGGCCTCTCTGGCGTCTAAGGCATGCCCTGAGAACACGTGGTAAATCTCACTGACCTGTCTCTGCCACCGACAGCTACTCTCATGCCCTGGATGGTCTGTACCGTGTGGCCCGTGAAGGTGAGAGGAGAGGAAGTTTACATTGTTGTAAATGTATGAATTTGAATACATATTTACATATGTACTCAGTGTGCCTGAGCTAGTGGGCTTGGGGTGGAAAAGCAGCCTGGGGGGGGGCAGGCAGGGTGGGGAATGAAGTGCCACATAGGGGCTGATGTTGCCCCTCGATTCCTCCTGCAGAAGGCCTGAAGAAGCTCTTCTCCGGAGCAACCATGGCATCCAGCCGTGGGGCCCTCGTCACTGTGGGCCAGGTGGGTTCCTGTGCAGAACAGGGCTTGCGGACAATATCTCTGACCTCTGTCCTCAGGGATCACAGAACACAGCAGCGGGCACTGGGGACCTTGGGGAGATGCCCGCTGTCCTGGGGAGGGGTGGGCAGCCTGCATCTGACCCTCACCTGCGTGTCCAGGTGTGGTGATGGAGTCACTGGGGACCCTGTCTGCTCTCCCCAGGTCTGGGAGCTTGTCTTTAGCCATACTGTCCCTGTTCCTTCCTGCAGCTGTCCTGCTATGACCAGGCCAAGCAGCTGGTCCTCAGCACTGGGTACCTGTCTGACAACATTTTCACCCACTTCGTCTCCAGCTTCATTGCGGTAAGTGCCCCCAGCGGGGTTGGAGGAGGCTGAGGGTGGGTGGAGCGAGCCTGGTGCAGCCTCTCTGAGGGCATGTTTGGGAACCAAGTTCACAGGTTAGCCCAGGCCGGGATAATTCCTGTTCACCTCTCCTGGGGACTCAGGTCTTGGCAGCACTGGATCACTCGGGGATGGGGCAAAGGGCTTTTTTAAAGGTATCCCGTGGGCAGTGAGGGTTTGGGAGTGCCTGAAGGCCCATTGGTGACAAGTTCCCTCCCGCAGGGCGGGTGTGCCACATTTCTGTGCCAGCCCCTGGATGTGCTAAAGACACGCTTGATGAACTCTAAGGGCGAATACCAGGTAAAGACTGGCGCAGGCTCCAGGGCTGGCCGGAGCTCCTGCCATCTACCGCCATTCTCTGGAGCCAGGACCCTCTCAGCTGCAGCCCTCATGGGGGCCCAGGGACAAGGCTGTTGTCCCCTGTTCCCTTCTAGATGCTTGACTCTGGGTAGCACTTGCCTCAGGGTGGGGCTGTACTTTCCCCGAGGCCTCGGTTTCTCCTTTAGATTTCTTCACCGGTTAACAGGGAAGCTTTTCACGCGGTCAGTAGAATCTAGCCTGTGTGTGGCCGGCGCCTTAAGAGCCATCTGGCTGACTTTCTTCGGCGGCCCATCAGCTTGGCCTATGTGACTTTTCCTCTTCTGTCCCCTTGATGTCACAGCCTGAGCTGCTCTCATTTCGGCCCCTGTCACATTCCCGGGAGCCCTCAGAGCCACCATGCCCTCCTCCTACCTAGAGAGTTAATCTGTGCGTTTGATGTGCATTTGAGTGTCCTTCACTGTCTCTGTAGGGTGTCTTCCACTGTGCCATGGAGACAGCAAAGCTCGGACCGCAGGCCTTTTTCAAGGTGGGCTGGGGCAGTGGGGCTGAGCCGTGGGGGAGCAACTGGGCCGGGTCTCCCTGGTCCTGATGTCGCCACCTCTGGTGTCCTCCTCACCCAGGGCCTCTTTCCTGCGGGCATCCGCCTCGTCCCTCACACTGTGCTCACCTTCCTGTTCCTGGAGCAGCTCCGGAAGCACTTTGGCATCAGGGTGCCAACCTGACATCACCAGAGATACCTGGGCCGCGCTCAGTCACTGTGCTGAGCTCCTTGGAAGAGTGGGAGGGGAGGGGACTCCTCTTCCTGGCCTGGGCCCGTGCTGTATCCCCAGCAGGCTTCTGTTCTCCCACCCTTGGGCTGGCTAGGCCTCCGACCCTGCCTAAACCAGGGTTTAATTCAGTGGCCTTTGTCCCTTCCTTAGGCCCACTGGGGTGGAACCTCTGCCCTCCTTGCTCGCAGACTCTTCCCCGTACAGGGCTTTTGCCCTGTATCCACCCCATGATTCGTTCAGGAGAAGAAGTCTGGCTCAGGCTGGCATTGCTGTCCCCGCCTCCCTGGCCGCTCTGCTGCCCTGCCCTGCCTGGCAAGCAGGAGGAAGCTGACCGCTTCCCACTCCCAGCTGGCCCTCTGTACACTGAGCAGAACCTAGTCAGTGTGGCAGGGTACAGACCATGGCAGTTTAGCACGCAGACACTTTTGTCTTGAGAGGGACCGTCGTGTAGTGTTCTTGAAGGCAGTACCTTCAGGAAAGGGAGCAGCAGTGAGAATCACCACAGTTGCCATGACAGTGGAGTCCAGAGAAGGTGCCTGGGGTTCCCTTGGGCACCTGTTACCTGCAGCCTTGGCTGCTTTGATGGTCAGTTTTGTCGAACCCTCCCACTCAGCAGCTACTACCCTCGTCAGGAACTGGCTGTGTCCCTCGCTGTGCCCTCCCGTGCCTGGGGACTGGGGGGGGGGGTGCTGGCAGAGCTGGAGCCATGACGGCTTGTATGTGCCCTCCAGGGATTTGTCTTCCTATTAAATAGCAGTGGTCACCCTCACCATCCCCAGGCTTCAGCCTGTCTTCCCCCAGATGGGGTTGGGTGCTCTTTGCCCATTTCCCCCTCTCAGTCCCTTGGGCATTGGGTCCTCACCCAGGAGGTGGCAGTGGGCCCAGGGACACCCTTCTTCAGGATCTAATAAACCAAGTGGCCTGGGAGACCTTCGTGTCTTCCCTACACGCTCCTCACCTACTCCAGGCTGCTAACTGTTCTCTGATTAGCACAAAGCATCTATCAAATCAGGGTCACCTTCTTCCAGGGGGAGAGCCTATGAGAAGAAGGCTTAGAGGTCGGTAAGAAGAGAGAAAGGGTCGCCTTAACCAACAGTAGTAGGGGCCTCTAGAGTCAATTCCCTTGCTGTCAGTCACAGGCCAGCAAACCCAGGAGAGCTGGGGATGCCCTGGGGTCCACAGAGAGCAAACAGACTGGAACCAGGGGTATTCTAGATGTATAAGCAGGAGCAAGATGCCAGCTAGGGGTGCCAGGGCCACCATTCTGAATGTCCCAAAGTCATTCTCAGTAAAGCAGGTGCTTGCATTAGAAAAAATCCAATGAAGCCATAGCCCAGGTACTGTTGTATCATAGGTATAAACACTTCAGTGGACACCCCTGAGAACACTATATTTGCCAAAGCTACAATTGTAATTTGTTACCCCTGAAAAGTGTAATGTGAGCTGGAAACATAATGGTACATAGTAGTCTTGGAACTCCAGATACCGGCTGGCTCGACTGTGAGCGTTTCAGTCTCTACGGGGCTGGAGATCAGACCCTGGGCTTTATGCTTACTAAGTAAACACTGAGCTGCATTCCCAGCCTTGCTGTGTGCCTCCAACTGAAGGGGCTGCAGTCCCAGCTAGTCCCCAACGTGTTATCCTCCTGCCTCAACTACAAAGATGACAAGTGTGGACAGGTTCAATGTCAGAAGTAGGTTTGTGCAGGGTGTGGTGGCTCACGCCTGTGGTTCCTGCACCAAGGGCTCCAGGTGCTGGCTACTGACTGAGGTCCTGACTCGGTGGGTTGGGATGGGCTTGTAAGTGGTACCACAAGGTCCAACCCTAAAGCCAGGGGAGAAAACTAGGGTCCCACCCGTTGGTCACAAAGCCATTACGTCATCATGGGCAGGCTAGGCATCCTGCCTTCGAGTGTGAGGTGGGAGTCACAGATAGTAGAACTGTAGCTTAGGAGCCCGCTCTTGTGGTTCTTCAAAAGGGCTGTTTCTCCAGACCCCAGCCAAGAACTCTTCTAAACCAGAAACCACTGACCGTTCATGCTCATTAGATTTGGAGCCCAGAACAGATCATACCCATGAGACCCAGGCCTCTGGGAAAGCCAATATACACCTAACCTCCCTTCCTCACGATCAGCCCTGCTCAGCAAAGCCTCCCTGGAGGCAGGAAAGTACCCAGTCTGGTTTGATGGGGTTAGGCCTGGCAACAGGCCCTGCAGGGCAGGGTGCGAATAGCCGATCCTATTGCATTGGCAAGCTCCAGGTAGGTCTAAAGAGACGCTGTCCCCAGAGGGTGGGGAGAGGAAGACTCTGAACACTGACCTCTGACTTCTAAACACATGTACATGGGCAAGTGCACCCTCGCACATGCAAAAGGCACCATGAAAGTTGCCCCCGTGTTCAGGGATGAAGTTGGTCCCTTACCTCACACCACACACACTTAGCAGCTCACAGGCCCACAGGCAAGATGTCAGATGCAGCTCACCCACTGGTTAAGAGTTCAGTCCCTAGTCCACATGTCAGGTGGCTCTGGTTCCAGGGGACCGGGTACCTTCTGGTCTCAGGGACCAGCACACATGTGACAACACACACATACTTATCTGATATCAGATATAATCAGCACTAACGGAAGCAGGTGAAAAGCTGTCCTGCTCCTCTGGGGCCTGCCACAGCAAGCAGCTGGTCACACTTTGCCTTTGGTAGAGACTCTCAAAGGAAGAAACAGAAAGATTGCATTCTGCTGGGGAGGCAGGAGTCCGCCCCTTCTTACCAGTGGTCTGGTCACTCCTGTTTTCGGTTGGTCGGGAGTTGGAGTGGAAACAGCAATTAAGGAAGTTGAAATGAACGGTTTTGCTGTTGGTGTCTGTGACTTCTTGTGGAGCAGTCTCTCTGTCTCTCGCTTCTTTGCTCTCCTCGCTTGCTCTCCTGATGCTGGGGGTGGGAACTCTATCTAGCCCGATGTGTGGCAAACCCGTCCCACCCCTAGGCTGTACTCCAGCCAGCTTTTGTTTTAAGATTTATTTATCTATTTTTGTTTTTTCAAGACAGGGTTTCTCTGTGTATCCCTGACTGTCCTGGAACTTGCTCTGTAGACCAGGCTGGCCTCGAACTCACAGAGATCCGCCTGTCTCTGCTTCCTGGGTGCTGGGATTAAAAATGTGCACCACCACCACCCAGCTTTAACTGATTCTTCTTTTTCTTTTAATATTTATTTATTTATATTTTACATACATTGGTGTTTTGCTGTGAGTGTTGGGTCTCCTGGAGCTAGAATTACAGACAGTTATGAGCTGCCATGTGGTTGCTGGGAATTGAACCCGGGTCCTCTGGAAGAGCAGACTGTGCTCTTAACCACTGAGCCATCTCCCCAGCCCTTTAACTGATTCTTTAAAAGTTAAAAAAAAAATGCTTTCCTTGACTTCCAGGCAGAGTTCCAGTACAGCCAGAACAGTTACACAGAGACACACTGTCTCAAAAAACAAAAATTAGCCCTTATCAGCTAATTCTGGGAAAGAGTGGGGCCACCAGGATCCCCAGCTTCTGACGCTCCAGTCTTCCTGGAATTGTTGATAAAGATTTTATCAATAAATAATAAAATAAAGATTTTATTATTGTTTTAGTGTTCTTTTTTGTTTTTGAAACCAGGGCTTGCTATGTATGTAGCCCTGGCTGGCCTCAAAAAGCTACCAAGCCTTTGATTTCAACCTCCCAAACTCTGAGGCTTCAGGCTGCCAAGCCCAGCTCTGTTACTTTTCTAGTTTGGTTTTTGTTTCCTTTGAAACAAGGTATCTGTCTTAGTTAGGGTTTGTATTGCTGTGTTGAAACACCATGACCAAAAGCAATTTGGGTTTATTTGGCTTGTACTTCCCAAGTCAGGACAGGAACTCAAGCAGGGCAGGAACCTGGAGGAAGGAGCAGATGTATGGGCCGTAGAGACCATGACTTGCTCAACCTGCTTTCTTCTCTTTTTTCTTTTCTTTCTTTCTTTCTTTCTTTCTTTCTTTCTT